TTTTCGTTTAACCGTTTATGGGATTTAGTGCAGACTTATAGGATTTTAATCCCCTATCATCTCGTGACCATCTCCACCCCTCCAATGAAACTACAGAGGTACCAGCGACTCCCATCTTGGCAGTTCCAGTGAGTTCCTTTAGTTATCTTCATTTCCCTTTTTATCGTCTTAGATGGTGGCGGCCACTGCGCCTTCCTGTGCATTCTCTTCGCCTTTCTTTATTCCTATGGTGTGACCACTTACCACTCTTTAATATTGACGTGCATGGGATTCTCGCCTTAGCTCTTTTAAATTAATTGATTTCAACTTCATGGCTTCAGATATCTAGCCATGACTTTTTTTATGAGCTTCAGACTCATATTCTCACTCACCGAGTGAATTCCTCCCCCTTGATGACTTGCAGAAACTTAAAACATATTCCAAAACATACATTCCCATTACCCACATCCTCATACAGCTGCGTTCTGTAGTTGATACAAATATGTCCCTAGAAACTCAAACATTTCATTTGGCTTTTATTTCTAAAACTTAGCCTAGTGTCTGAGGGGCACAAAATAGACCTCAATAAATATTTGATAATTAAATGACTTAATGATGGAATGTTAAAATATGTGATTGATATTGGTGCTTAAGAAATGCAATAATGTAATTCCAAGTGGGGTGTGGAATCTTTGGTTTTAAACAAAAACCTCCTCTTGTTAAATTGTGCCCAACCTCAAATATCCCCTACATTTTTTCTGAGTTATCTTTGATATACCTCAGACTTTGTACAAGGTTAGTACTAGAGGATTTTGTTATTTGACTCATGTTTCCAAGGGATACCAGAATGAAGGCAGACCCTGGAATATAGCTAGAAATTTGTGTCTGGAGCTTTTAGTCATAAATCAAAGTGAGATACAATTCTCAGTGGGTGGCAATATTGGTGTCAGGTGCCCAGCTAGTGATTTGAGTCAAGTAAGCAAGTCTGCCTACAAGCCTTAATGGATTTGAGGTCCAGCGGTTCTTCCATTAAAGATTAAAGTAACTGACAGAGACAAATTGTTAACCAAACTTTCTTTTCATTTCCCTTTGAATTATTAAACTAAACACACCTCCAGTCCAGATAGCTGATGCTAGAAGGCTCTCTTAAATCAAGACCAAATCTTAAATCAGTACAGGTAGCCCAGACTATAGCCTCTTTCATTTCAGTGACATTAGTAAAAACCTCTGTCCCTGGAGCTAGATTTCCCTTCTCCTCTATAGCACACATTTTATGAGGGCTAATGTTTTGGAAATAATTTCACAATTCTTATAACCACTTTACTTTGGGAAGGAGGAAAGACTGACGGTCTTGAAGTTGTATGGGAGCAAGCTATATAGTTCCTTAAAGATGGCCTCTCCTATTTCTGGTGGTTGTCTGTACCAAATTTACAAATCAGAGTTGCTGTCTTAAAAATATGAAATCATTGACTCTTGAGTGCTGTTACCCAGTGGGCAATTATCTCTCGGCGTCCACTTCCATTCCCCATGGTTTTGATAGTAACAGCCCCACAGTTTTCCCAGACTTGAGCAATCCCTGGCATAGCAGAAGGCTGTCGGTGAATTTGTGATGGATGAGTAAGTGGCGAGCTCTGATTTTCCAGTGTCTGCGTTAAATTTGAGGGCAGACTGTAGGTGTTGACCTGGGCCATTTTACATAGGGGACTTGAGCGTCTGCACATTTTGGCATTCAGGTCTTGGAACCAGTGCCCTGTGGTTACTAAGAGACAGCTTAAGTTTTGGGGGAATCAAAAGTTACACGGGGATTTTCAACTGCTTTGGGTTCAGTGCCCCTAACTCGAGTCATTCAAGGGTCAACTGTGGTTCCAAGGGATTAGAGTATAGAAATACGCAGAGTTCGATGAACCATGTAGATGTACAAGTCACATTATAAGAAGGATGTTTACTTAGGTGGAATTACAATCTAAATAAAATAGGAAAGGGAATTAAGGTATTTGGACATAGCGGATGCTGCTATTTGGAATTTATATAACTTACAAACATCTTTTGAATCACCCTTTACCCACACTTGAGTACTCAAAATAAGAAATTATCATTGAAGACCTGATTTCCAAAGATTTTTAGAAGAGAGAAGCAAATAGGATGGCAGCCCGTCGTCAGCCTTCAGCCTGAAGGAGTTAGAATCTAATACTTCCCTGTACTCCCATCTTGATGCCACCAGAACAGCTCATGGGGTTAAGAAGAAATTGTCATGGCCCAGCTGGCGTGGCTCAGCGGTTAAGCGNTGTCATGGCCCAGCTGGCGTGGCTCAGCGGTTGAGCGTCCACCTGGGATCCAGGAGATCGCGGTTCGATTCCCGGTCAGGGCACAGGCCCGGGTTGCGGGCTCCATCCCCAGTTGGGGGAGCACAGGAGGCAGCCGATCAATGACTCTCTCAGCATTGATGTTTCAGTTCTCTCTCCCTCTCCCTTCCTCTCTCTGAAATCAATAAAGACATGTTTAAAAAAAAGAAGAAAAAAAATTGTCAGAATAGGCCTGTGCACCTGGTAAAGCTGCTTATTTTGATTCCTTTAGCTCAACTGAACATATGCAAGGGAACAGCGATCTCCCTTTGTATTCCAGTAAGAATTTCCAGATAGAAAATAACTGGCAGGATTAGCTATATGGGAAACCAAAGTGGAAAAATAAGATAGTGCTCATTAATCAGATATGGTTCAGTGGATATTGATTAAATAAATCTTGACCATGTGTTGCACTGGACGGGGACTCTTTTAACCTGGCCATTCTGTCACCTGCACACTCTATTTAATTCTTCAAATGTATCAATGTATCCAGAACACCCCCCCCATAGCAATTTCTGGCTTCTCATTTAAATAATCAAACATAACTTTTGAAAACGTCACATTCCATGGATAAACTTAGAAACTGGCAACCCTGCACTCCTCTTTTCATACCACGGGCTTACAAGGTTGAAAGCACAGAAACAGACAAAAAGACAATTTTTCTCAAGGTCTTGGGATGTGGCCAGAGGAACGTGTCCAGTCCTTGCATTTGCTGACGTGCCGTTTTGCTGGAGTGCAGCCCTAGCTGCTTTGCCCTGTGCCTTTGTTCAAAATCAGATTCTTTGCCTTCGAGCCTAGCGAAGGGATCCATTGCCAGTGAGGTGTTTCCTTTCCTGTTGCTGATTCCGAGTGTGGTAACTTTAGCAAATACAAAGTCATTTACTGTGGAGTATTTCATTAATTTGACTCACTGCCGTAACTAGCTGCCTCCATTCGTTTCTGCAGTATGCTGAAATGGCTAAATTTTTGCCCCTAATTGATAAATAAGTTGGGAGGGGTGAGGAATTGAATTTCTATGAGGGTCTCTTCAGTGTTAATCCCAGAAATGTTCCAGCTGAAATTTGATATAGAGGCTGCACTAGTTATTCCCGTTTCCAAGACAAAGTGAAGGGGACATTGGCAAAGCCCCCCTAACGACTGAGGTGGCACTAGAAGCAAACAACACCCCTTCCCATTAACAGTCATCCCCAGAACTGTCGTCCTTTTCAGATGGTTAAAAAGAAAGAGGAATCTCTATACTTCAAGTTTTTTATTAATGGAAAAACTGAATAATAGGAGAGCGATCCTGTTTCGGATTTTACTTCGGAAGCATGTATGAGCGGCTGGCACTCCCGGGGTGAGGGACCCTGAGATATGCGCGTCTTAGGGCCGCGTTTTCTTGCACACGTGGGCTCCTGTCGGTAGAGTAAAACCTCACGAACGTGAGCTCTCGTGGGTGGAGACAGGGTGGCAGGCGCGGTGTGGCAGCAGGAATCACCCGGCTTTTGGGCAGGGTCCCTCAAGGCTGGAGCATGACAGGGAAGGAGGGACATGCTGTGCAACTGGCTCGGGCGATTTTGCTGGAAGGGGCCTGTGATCAGATGCCTTCGGAGTCGTAGCTGCTGTTTCAATGAGTATTTCAGAGGCGGTGAGAGCAGGAACAACTAGAACGTTTGTATTCTGCATATAAAGATGTCCCCTGGATAGAATGTCCTCGCCTGACAGTTGCCTAGCGGCAGCCCAGTGAGTCTCATGTCACTGAGGCCGGTCCAGCTCCCACACTGTTAGCCGTCTGCGGGGTAAATGCACGCGACCAGAGGAAAAGGGCTGTGGCCGGGTCTGCATCGGATCCAAACCTTTTATGGATCGTGAGTTATTTTAAATGCATTTTGCAAAAAGTGGGATGGTAGGTAGAGGTGGCTTCAGGGAGGGGTCCTCCGGGCGAGGAGTCAGAAGCTCCACCCCGGGTGCCGGCGCCAGGCAGCGAGCGAACTGGATGGCCCCGCGGGAGGCGAGAGGTAACGGGGTGAGCGGTTTATTTCCACGTGCGTGGAAGTGGGTCCACTTGTATCTGCTGTCGGAAAGCCATCCTGCTGACCTAGCGTTATCAGAGAAGGTGCATAATATTGCAGCTTTCATTGATGAATTTGTATTTTAACTGATGAGTTTCTACTTGCTCATACAATTCACCCACTCATCTCCGAGCCTGCGCCTGTATGCGGGGGTGCACTCATACACACACACACACGCACACACACACACACACACACACACACACACACACACACACACCTCTTTGGGATGGATGACATGTATTTCCACGATAGCTGGCTGAGTTTTAAGATGCAGACAGTGGCCATGGAGCTCAACCACAGAAGCTAGTCAGCCCGTGAGGGGCCTGACACTGACTCTGTGACATTGGCATCATTAACATCAGACACTAACCACCGAAATCAAAACCCAGTGCCCCGCTCTGATGTTGGAGAGTCTCGCCATCCCTCTCAATGGGAAGGCCTCCTGTTGTATCCTTGCACATAATTTGATGATGCTGACATCAGGTTTTGTGATGGAAGAGATTTACATACAGACATGTGACCAGTAACATATACAAAATGTACCATTACATTAAGGCATTAAAATAATCTTAAGTGACCTAAAAATAGAAAGCACCAGTTTCTCATATTTTTAAATTATTTTTAGGTCCTGTGGATGTGACTATTTTAGCTAAATGTAATCCCTGCTTATCGAATCCATGTAAAAATGATGGCACCTGTAACAATGATCCGGTTGACTTTTATCGCTGCACCTGTCCGTATGGTTTCAAGGTGAGTAGAAGCTCTCATAGGAGCCATGATCTGAAAACATAGCTTTCTTGGTGGGCCTGCCTTATTTTACTGTGCTGACAACTACTTCATTTGCACTCAACTCTACTTGGCCATTCCTTCTGCAGGGGCAGGACTGTGATGTCCCTATTCATGCATGCATCAGTAACCCATGTAGACATGGAGGAACTTGCCACCTAAAAGAAGGGGACAGAGATGGATTCTGGTAGGTCATTCATTAGTCTGTGATCCGTGTCTGAAATGTTGGAACAAGAATAGCTAAGCAAACATGCATTCTGCTTTGCAAATCAAGGAACATTATTTTTTTTAAATGCCAGAAATCTATTCATGAGGACAATATATATGTATGAGTCTTTCTCTGAGATACCGCAATATATAAACAAAAGGAGATATTACAGTATTTTCAGCTCAGGAAGCTACAAAATCAAGAAATTTGAAAAGACTCACGTGCTTCCATTATGATTCATCAAGTTAGGTCAGATCAAGGCCAAGTAGTGACTGTATTATGCTAATTAATAGCCAACTAGTCTCCTACTGCAAGTCGTAGATTCATCTGTTGCTGTGTGTATTGCTTTAAAGACAGTGCGTAATGAAAAGATGTAGGTCGCACTGAAACAAAATTAATGATTCATTTCCAAACCCCAATATGAGTAGACAGCCATGCTGTGCACATTTTTAATCCGGACTTATTTAATCATACAGTACAATTACCTTAGATGTACTTCATGAATTATGAAATAGAGTTCTTATAATGACACTAATAATTTCACATAAGAATGCTAATGTACTACTAAAGCTTGTTAGAAACATCGCTTTCTATAACAAATAGGCTTCATTTCTGCATTCTGTTATGAAATTGTCTCTTTCTCATCAAGGCTTTTCAAAGATTATTCTGATACCTATCAAGGCAAAATGTACAATGTTTTATGCCCGTGAAAAAATTGCATTTGTTGAGACATCAAGAGAACATTCACATTTTATAATTACAAGGCAGACAAAATTTTATTTTCAAATTTCTTTTTTTTGTTTGTTTTGAGACATCAAGAACATTACACATAGGGTAATAGGTGCTGTCAATTTTGTTTAAAATCGGACCCAGTTCCTCCTCACTTATGAGCAAAGAAGCATGAATTATTTTGTTAGAACACAACTTGAGATTAAAATAGGGTAAATTTAGCTTGTGTGTTAGATCTGCAAATATATTATATTTATTGATTTATAGGACCATGGGGCCATTTGCCATCTTGCAGCCAGCATTAATTTTTTTCAAATTGTTTCTGACTTGCAGGATTTTATCTTAAATTAATGCCTACAACATGTCATTTAAAAATTAATTTCTTGCAGTTAAAAGTTCTGTAAGTGATGAGTGTATTCAGGTTTTCTTTCAATGTTTAGACCCACATGGTTTTAAAATGCAGGGGGTTTTTTTGGTTTTGTTTTTTACATTTTTCACCCTTTGGCATTCAGGTGTATCTGTGCTGATGGATTTGAAGGAGAACATTGTGAAATCAATGTTGATGACTGCGAAGATAATGACTGTGAAAATAATTCTACGTGTGTCGATGGGATCAATAACTACACCTGCCTTTGCCCACCTGAGTACACAGGTAGGAAGAACTGGGAATGCTCGGCCGCCGGTCTGTGTACCTGAACCCATCATGGGCACCCTCTGCATGTGTTTAGTAAACCATTGTGTCCTTCAGTATCTGGTGTTTGGGAAATTAGGTGTACTATAAATAGCAGCCGGAGTTAGTGATGGTTTCGGCCAACCCAATGAAAGACCGGCCAGGCTCAGCTGTCACGTCATGCTATCCAGCCAAAACAGGAGGCATCATACTGAAGCTTTTAGTCTCACAACCGAGTGACATTCCCATACAAGGCGTTTTTCCTGTGCAAATCAGCATATGTGAAAGGGGGCATTTCTTTACCTAGTCGAAACGTAATGAAGCATTTGGGATCGTATCCATACCCGCTTCCTCACTAATGAGCATTTTCCTCTAGTAACTCATGTTCTTCAAAATCAAATACAAATAGAAAGTTATTGAGCACTTTGAATAATCTTATGAGACCATCACCTTTCTTCTGACATATTGTCTCCTGGGATGATAAATCTCATAAGACTGTTCAGCCTCCTAACCTCTTCCCTGGGTAAACCAATTCGCTGTAAAGTCAGCCTCAAGTTTAAAACTTGTCTGTGAAGTCAGAATATCTATTTTGATTTATTTTTTGTGGCTATGAAGAAGAAACTTCACAGTTACAATCTTGTTTTCTTAATAAATCACTCAGTTTTCATAGAGAAATGGAGAACGTTATACATTTTATTGGTAAGAAGAAGTAGAGCAGTAAATTCTGTCTCTCTACTCAAAGCTACATTGTCATTTTATTCGGTATTTTTCATTAATTGCATCTATTTCCATCTAATATAATACATAGTTAAGGGTTTCAGAGGGCACAATAACTATGTAGATCACTAAGGTTAACATCACTAAACATGAAAGATGAAATCACATCTGTCTGATTAGCTGCCCCGGGAATTTATTGGGAGAGCGTGGAAATTTAAGCTTTTATGGGATACCCAAACTTTGCATTTCACTAAGTACCTTTCTTGATGGGAAAATGCTATATGGAGTAATGGGATTTTGCTTTGACCCCCCAGATCTGTTTGAGTGCCTCTGAGGCTACCTTTTCGTGGTATGTTTCTTTTAACACCAGGGAAGCACCCAGTGCCATATAAAGTAATATACTAAGTTTCCAGTAGAAATTAGAACATGTTGCATCCACCAATGTCTCTATTACATATACGCAGCCCTTGGGCCCCTTCGTGGGCAGAACGTGAGCATCCTTTGATATTTTTGTATTTATGAAGGATAGCAAGTGTGCTCAGCATGCACAGATCCTGAAGCCCTTGGGGCTCCCCGGGATTCGAGTGTCATCGCACGGGTTCGTAGAGGCTTGTGTAAGACGCCCAGTGTTTGCACTAAAACCAGTTACCTACATTGACCTCGATAGAGTAGCTCTCTTTTCCCACCAGAGTTCTTTAATCATTATAGAAAGAGCTTAATTCACTTCACCTTTTAGGCCTTTTTAAACCAATGACCAGGACAGATTGGACCAAAGCGTTTGGAGCACCCTGACTAGCTACTGAGCTCCCCAGCCCAGCGGCCAGGACTGTCTGCAGCCCCTTTGTGTTGACAGCCTCGGCTTGGAGGGGGCCCTGCAGTGCTCGGCGCTTACGTGCTTTACGATCAGTTACAGAAGGTGGCCGACCCCTCCGAGTGGGGGTGGAGGGGTCCCCCTGCTTCGGCTTCAGACTGGCTCTAGCTTATCCCCGATCCATTTCTTCTGAGGCTCTGTCTTGTCTTCTCAACCTGCCCCTTCCGAGCTCCCTCCCTACACCCGATGCTCTTGACCACACATTGTATCTGCACGAAGTGACCCAGCTCCATGCAGCTTCCTCAGAGAAGCAGTCGAAGCCCCCTCTTTCTGTGCCAGATCTCTTTCTTTGAAACCTCAAAAAACCCCCAAATTAGCAAAACCACTTTTTAGCCAACATGTCACATCTAGAAAAGCTATCATGTGGGAACCCGCCAAGACTCTCTGTCAAGGGCCACTCGGTTCTCCTGAGACTCTTTTCGTCTTTTTAAGCACAGCTATGGCAGATATCGGTTTGCCTCAATTTTGGCAAAGTATAAACAAAAATACTGAGCTCAACTGAAACTTAATAGCATAAAGATATTACCCCTGTAACTTCGGGCCGAGTTTTGTGGGCACTGAAGAGTTTGACAATTTGGCATTAAAGCAAGTATCTAAACGAGGCCCCTTTGTAACTCCTCTATGAACTATAGCATTTTTGTCCATATGTGGAGTGAGCTCATTTACAAAATATCAAACAACCATCTGCAGATTTTGAAGTCAGTGGCACATAGCGGCCTTTAATTATAGGAAAGTATAAATTGGGCTCTAGAGTTTTATGTCCCTCTTCCTCCAAGTCCACAGTTAGAGAGGAATTTCCTTATAATGCGGCCGTATTGTTTTAGATGTAAGTTTGGAGTCTGATTAATGAGCATGAAATCTGGGAACAGAAACCCTGCTATGCTCGGGGAATATAATAACGTTGTCATTGTTTAAACATCATTCAAGTCACAAGTTGCTTTCTGTTTGAAGATTTTTCACTCTGTACCCCAAAGGCATAAGTGGGAACGTGAACTCTTTAGTTGGAACAAATAAAACTTCATGGAAAAAGCTCGTAAATTATTACGGGGAAAGGTTTTACATTTGGCATCCGTGGCAAGAGTCAGAGCGGACGTACTGTTGCTAATGGAGAAAATTCAGAGATCTGAAAGCAATCCGACAGAGAAGTCTTGATGGGACGGGCAGGCTATAAAACACAACTACAAATATCAAAAATAAAATGAACCACCATTGGGGAATTTATTAAATTTATTTGAGCTCTTGTGACCGGCACATTAGAGTAAATCGTTATTGATTTATTAGAGGACAAGACTATCTGCTCTTTTCTGATGTGGGGATTAACAACACAAATTTTAAAGGTCAATACTGATTTTCTCTTATCAAAACCTTGTATACCACCCACTCCCAGTTATCAGAACTGTTGTTTTCTACTTAATTCATTCCATTATCTGTACTAGTTGTATAATATATGGTTGTTGATTGCTGATATTCTGCAGACAAGGTTGATTTTTGAAAAGTTTAATTCGGTATGATTCTAAATTAAAGTCACTACACTAAGGATTGAGCAAGTAGGACTCAGGAGTTGCTTAACAAACAATTTTAAAATTTACTCTAGGGTTTGATTCTCGCTTGAGAGATTATGTTTTTGATTCTTTTAATTTTTAAAGAAATCATTATTGTATCCTTTCTAAAACTGAAGCATTTCTTAAAGGTAAATTTCTAAGAAATTCCTGAAATTGTATAAGCTCAAAGCCTATAAAAATGAAAATCACAAACATAGCACCCCTGCCATGTTGAAAACTTGACGCCTTTTTTAAAACTCTGGCATGAACTCAGGTGTTGAATTGAAAAATGTGTTTTGCATGTTTCCCGAGAGTCAGACCCCTGGATCTGTCTGTCAAGACTATGTTTCTTAATCAACCCTGTTTTCGTGGAACCACATACAAAGATGATACAAAATTGATAACAATAGAAACCATGAAGTTCCTTAATGAACTTCATCCACGAATTCAGTGAATGAAGGTTTTCCTACCAGTTGGGTATATAAAGATGTAGAATATATTTTGTGGAAAACATTCAGAGCGTTTTAAGTTTTCCATTTTGTACAGTTATCTCTTAGTTTTCCACACCTCCAGTGCCCACACGCAAACCATTAAGTGCACGTGTTAAAAAGTCAGGCAGGTTGTTAAGTGACCTGGTTGAGACGCAGATCTCTGGCTCCCTGCGATGCGTTTGCCTGTTGCCTCATTTCCCCCATGTGTGCCCTTGGCCAGCTGTAGGTAAGAAACCTGAGCCTTGCCTCCCTCTGCCCTCTGCCCCTGGCCTCTCTGTTATAAATGCATTAGCTTCCTGTGCTCTGCTGTTGTATCGCAATGTAAAAAGTCTTTTGTCTCTTCTGTCTTTGTCGCTGCCAGCTGCTAATCTGAATGAGGTGGAAAAAGGTTAGTTGCCTTTTAAGTCTATTATGATTTTTATTTTTGTTTCCCTCTGTCTTTTAAAGCTACATGGATTTCATTATATGTACATGGTAAAAGGAATGTTGACAAAATCTGAAATTAATATGTTGAATCAGCCGTGCAGATCCTTGATATACGGGTAGCCATGCCAAACACTATAAAAGGGCATCTGACATGCACTTTCCCAGTTTCTGGAAGGCTATAAAAGAAACCTTCTGAGTGGAAAGAAGGGTTGGCTAAAAAGAAAGACTAATAGCTTCCATTTTCTACTTGTCTGTATGCTTTTACTTTTTTAAAAGATATTGCAAACATGAGTTACTTTTACAGTGAAAAATATAGGCCATTTAGTACATCAGATAGGGTACAGATAGAAATATTTTTTCAATACTGGGAATTTTTCAATAACTTGAAACTAATATCTTCAGTAACATGAAACAGGAAAAATACATTCATGAAAACATACTATAAAGTGTAAATCTTACAAAGCCCAAGCGGTTGATTTATAGAATGACATTGTCAAATTCATGTTACGGTGTGTCCTGAGTACTAGGCAGTATTTTTAAACCATAAAGAGAAGTATCCTATCATTGACATCAATATGGTCCACGGGGCTCCCCAAATGTACCAGGGCCCGGGAAAGGAGGTCTTAGAACTTTTAGGGCAGCAATAGGCATGTCCAAGGGATCATCATGGAACCTTCGTGAAATGTTAGCTCAAAGATTCAGAATTATTACTGATAACATTGGATTTTTACTCATTCCGTTGACCAAGAGTCTTCAAGTGCCAAGTGCAGGCACAGCGTCCTCTGAGGAGCCCAATATGTGCTTGTCCCGACAGTGCCAGTTGTATGTGAAGCATCGGCAGTGAGGTTATAGGGCTAACACGGGTACTTTGCCCAGCAGCTCTCCTTGTCACCTCTTGCTGAGGACTTCATTTCTTTCTGTTACATGGTTCAGGTGATTTACTGGTCGGTCACTTAATTTACTGTGTGCAGAATTAAGTTGACAAACATGAAGAA